CTAGGAGTTTTAGGGAAATCTGTGCAGACTCACAAAACTGTATAGCAATATCATCTTCAGCTTCGGTACCCACCCTTCTTTTCGTATCTGTCAGTGCCAACTACAATCTAAGACAATGAAAAAGTCATTTGCTCACTCAGTTTAAAACCAGTATTTCTAAAGCCATTGGAGAATCTGGCTTTTTTCATCATGAAAGGTTCTAGACCTTCCATAAATCATCCCTGGTCCAGAGGCCCTGGTGAGATGTATTCCCTTTATCCACCCACCACAATCATGCAGGAATCTTGTATCCCAGGAAAATAAAACTACAGTTAGATCTGGGGTTAACTTAGAACTATTTGAAGCCTTCTTCCCTCCCTACCACTCACCATGAAGGTGTGAGTTCTTTAAACTAAGGAGCTGTCTATATTATTCAAAACGTCCAATTAACATCCAAATGGAAATAGTTAGCAGTGGATCTGTATCAGGTGATACACTGACTCTGGTTGGCGTTCATCAAATAATTAGCAGAGAGCTGTTCTAGTTGGTTGCCATATTCAATGCCTGAGTTATTTGGCTTTAACCATTTTTTAGATCCCTAAGAGAATGGTGTGGTAGGGAACCCCTCTGCCATTCTCCTACTGCAATCTACACCCAGACCTCCATATCCAACCCACATCTACACGCTCTCTCTCTCCATACAACTATTCAACTATTGCTTTGAGTATAGTTTTTTCTGGTGACTCTCTGACAGACCAGTTCAAAATGATGTGGCTGTTAGAATGGCCACCATCCACCCAGATTTCCTCCTCTCCTATCCCCCTTTCCTACCATTCCGTCTGCTTTAAGGGACTTATCACTAGGTCACAGAGACATCATAATCCTGGAACAGAAAGAGAGAAATTATCAACTACAAATGTTCCTACTATGTTCCCACTCATAGCAGTATTATACTAAACCTCCCTTTCTACAGATAGACTCTGGAAGCTGGGTGTTCTCCTTAAGTTTTGGTCAACAAATTGAAATAAAAAGAAGAGTTAAATGCGAATTGCAAAGACATATAATTTCTGCTGAAGAAACACCTATTTTTCTACACAAAGCCAACTCTCCCCCAAATTCTACTTCCTCCTTAAGATTATACTAATACTCAAGCTGTAGAAAAAAGAATTGTGGGAGAGAAGGAAAAGAAGGCAAAGGAGAAGATGGGAGAGAAAAATTGTAAAGATCAATAAAAATTAATTGTGGTTAAAAGTTTTAAGTAACTAAGAAAAATTTAAAAAGAAAAACATTGAAAAAGGCAAAAAAGACTACTAGAAAAATGGTAAATCATACATTACAAATCAATAAGAAGGTGTGTGGTGGGAAGAAAAGGAAGACTACCCAACAAATAAAATAAATACAAGAGATTAGAAAGTAAAGAAAAGGCAAAATCTAGATAACAAAGGAGATAAAATGTCAAATAATTTTCAGAAGTCTTGTGGTCAAGAAGAAAAAGATTTGGAATGAGGGCAAAACAGGGAGAAAGTTTTCAAAAAGATTTGTAATGTCCTCCCCTATCTAGAACACTTTGTGATTTTTAAGAACATAAAATATAACCTATGTATCTTTATTTGATTATTAAAATAACCATGTTTGGCACATGAAAAAATGCAATTGTCTCAGATTACTGCAATTTTTAAAAATTTAATGAGCTACCAACTATGGAATTTATGGGAAACGATGAAATTTAAGAATATAAAGAGCTACAAATTTCATCATATAACAAATGATGTTAACTGGGCTTATTATTTTTCCTGTCTGTTGGATACAAAAATCTTTTAAAAAGATGCCAAGGAGGGCTTCCCTGGTGGCACAGTGGTTGAGAGTCCGCCTGCCGATGCAGGGGACACAGGTTCGTGTCCCGGTCCAGGAGGAGCCCGTGAGCCCGTGAGCCATGGCCGCTGAGCCTGCGCGTCCAGAGCCTGTGCTCCACAACGGGAGAGGCCACAACAGTGAGAGGCCCGCGTACCGCAAAAAAAAAAAAAAGATGCCAAGGAGCAGAAAGAAAAAGAAAACACTCACTGGACATTGTTTTGCCTCATAGATGTTTGCCTACTAAACAAATATCAACATCAAGTGTTGAGAATAAGGGTCTGGTTGCCATTGACTAAATATGTATACGTAGGATGGTCATTTCTCTTTTCTGAGTGTCATATGTCATCTTTAAAATGAGGGGGTTGGGTTAGAGTGCCATCTGGTTCTAATTTAACGTGGTAATTCAAAAGCCACTGTAGTGGCTGCTGTGGTTCCCCACCCAGATTGCTTCTTCCCCAAAGTCCTTTAGGAATGAAATGCTGATCTCCCCCAGCTGCTGGGACTATGGGTGGTTGATGGCTCTTAGCTGCATCCCTCTCTAGGAATTGCCCTTAACCAAAGAGATCCACCCGGCTCAAGGTTATGCCCCCTTCCTGGGAGCAACTTGCATCCAATGACTGGTCTGTTAGGGGCTATAAAGGCTGAGCCGTTTTGCCTCCATTCAGGACCTCCCTCTAGGACCACCCCAGCCCTGAGCTCCCTGTGGTGTCAGCTGAGGTCTTTGTGGCATCTGCATCACAGTTCAACGTCCCTCTCTGCTCAGTCCTGCTTCCTTCATTCCCTAACAGGTGTTGAACCTGAGCTCACACCCCAATAAACTTCCTGAAGCAGATCTCCACATTAGCATCTGTTTTTTTTCAGAAACCCAACATGAAATAGGTATTAGATCCCTCTTACTTCTGTGAAAACAGCAGTGCCTCCTGGAAGCAGAAATGCTTTATTCTGAGAGTTGGATTGTATTTCTTGTCCTCATAATCAGGAAGTATGGAGCTAATACTTCTGTCTGATCATCATTTTCACAGAGTATGATGAAACATTATAGAATTATTTCAGAAGACTAGGATTAGGTATGAATATAGAAACACTAAATCTTAAGGCTTTTATTCATTATTCTAACAGTAAAAATGTACATTATAGTTTAATTTTTCAAGAAAATAAAATGAGTGAATCTTTTTCTCCAAGCCTTTGCTTTTCCAGGGGAAAAAAGAGCCTAGTACCAATAATTAAAAAATAGAAAAGGGCTATGAAGAAGGGGGGAAATAGAGAGTAAAATATAATAATTGTTTTTCTTAAGGAGCTGAGAATTAAATTTAAAAAGGAAATACAAATGAAAGTATGCATTTTTTAAAATCCTCAGTATTAGAGGATTTCTCTTTAATTTTCTTTCCCTTTATTTAGAGAAAGAAAATTAAAACACATACGTAATAAATACCATCACTCAAAACTCACAGGTCTCACTAAACTAACCGAAGTTTATATATTCTTTTCTGACTTTGAATGGGATTCTTTTCTTTTAAAGTTTTTTTTCAAGAACTTTGGTAAATTTTTTTCTTTCCCCAGTTTCTTTTTTCTGTCCTTTTTATTGTTTTTCCCTTTAATGTATAATGATTTCATCCTGTCCAGTGCATTTAAAACAAGCCAATATGCTTCCCTCTTATTGGAGGTAACTCTCCTATTCACTTTATAGTTTACTTTTGTCTCTTTTTTGCATATGTCAATTTCTTCTGCATTATTCAAACAATCAGAGAAATCTTAAATTGAAATTGACCTTGAAAAGGCAATTGGTAGACACATATTCTCTTCCAAAAATTTCACTTCCTTCTCTGCAATTCAAAAATGAGCTGTCTACCAAATATTTAGATGTTTCGGAGCTACTTGGAGCTTGGCAACAAGAGAAATTCTAGATGTTGGTAAAGTAGCAACAGCTGATTTAGCAAGCATGGCATGATCCCGCATCTGATCTCTGCCAGGATAACAGAGGGTCTTATTTACAGTCTCTTGCCTTGGCCCTTCTAAGTAGGTACGGTTTTCTGTTTACTTATCCCCTAGCATTAGGCCCTGGAACAATGTTGAACATAATGTCACTGGCCCTGGTGCCAGACAGGATCAGGGGCTCTGGAATATTTACAGTTTCCCTTCTTTGCTTCCATAAATGAAACGGGCAGTCTCAATGGAGTAAATCAAGGGCCAGCTGGCTGAAAACACAACTGGCAACAAAGCACGTGGGCTCCTTCCAAGAGCTGGTGTTTAAAGAAATTCCAACTACCATAATAACGGTTAAGGACACTAGCTGTAGGATGTTAACAGTCAAATTTTACTCAAATATTTCCGTTTCCAAAGTTTGGAAGCTATTATGTGTCCCCTTCTTCTTAAGAAATTTTCTAGTCTTGGAAAAATAGCCAATCCCTTATACTCTAACAAATGACAAATATATACTATATACTTTGGGAATGTCAAATAAATTCTGTGCCATGATGTACAAAGTGTTATTTTTGCTTAAGCTCATTCATACAAAATAAATAAAATGGTTACAAAGTTGAGAAGGAAAAAAAGAGGAACAGAAATGACATACGAATTTAGGTGGGATAGCATGGCAGACAGCCAGACAAACTAATTTGGGAGGTTACTAATGTATCCAGGCCAAGTGACAAACAAAGAAAAGCAGATTTCTTTTGTTAAATAAAATATATATTACTCCAATTTTGATATTTAAGAAGAAATGTGATAATATCCTTGGGGAAGAAATCATACTGGAGCACTAGAAACCTAGTAGATGAGTGATGCAGGGTTTTTTTTCTTGCTAGGTTCTAATAATGAATTCACTCTAGAATCTCTGATAGTCTCCAAATCAGAAATCTATATGTATAAAACCATAGTTCAGAGAGAGAAATTTAAAATCTAAACAATTCTATACATTATGAGATGCTAATTATCTCCCAATCCAGGAGCAGATGAGTTTGAAGGTGAGTGGACAAAGCTGCTTAGGTCCGCCCCTGTGCCCAGCATATAAATGCCAATGTCTATAAATGATTGGCAAGAGAAATGAGGGAGGGACCCTGAGAAAAAGTGAAAGGCTTCAGCAGTAGGTGCGTGGAGCAGCCGGTCTGATGCTATAAATCCCGGAAATGAATAAAGCCCGTAGCTTGAGACCCCCTGGAAGGCATTACCTCTACATAGGGCACGACCTTGCAGGAGAAGTCCTCCAGCAGCCACTTCTTGGTCAGCTCATGAAAGATGACGAGCGGAAGGCAGAAGAAGATGATGAGAAAGTCCCAGAAGGCCAGGTTGGCCAAGAGGGAGTTGGAGATGCTCCGCATGTAGTAGTTGTGACACACGATGCACATCACCGCCAGGTTGCCTATGATGCCGGTCCCGAAGATCACCACCGACAAACACATGACCGCATAGGCTCCGTATGACTCCTGGGTCAGTGGGTAGAAAGGGTTCTTCAGTCGCAAGCGCGGGTTCGTGGTGTTCCCTCGCCGAGGACCCCCGCGTTCGTGAACTCCTTCAAGGGAGGACCCGTTCAGAGCCAGAGCCCTGCCAGGGGGTGCAATCGTCCGCCCTTCGTGCCCCGACGGTCCATTGACCGTCTTGGGTTGGGGGTCGTGGTGGGAACCCTGGAGTTTCCCGGCTCTCCTTGGCCAATAATAAAGGTCGCTGGCTCCGGGTTCCTTCCTCACACTCTGCTCCTGACTGCGCCCAGAAATGCCAGAGCCTCTGGGACCCTTTTCCTTCTCCTCTGACGTGTGAAGGAAGAGTTGGAGAGCCGTGGGGTTCCCTCTCCCCAAAGTACCCGGGGGCTTCTGACTCCGGGCACCTTTCCACCTCCAGGCGCCAGGTGGTCTGGCTGGAGGTCCCGAGGGCTCCGCTGCCGACGCCTCCGCCCCTCTGCCCGCGCCTGGGTCACCGCCGCGGGCCGCGGGTGGGTCCCATGAAGGCGCCAAGCGCACCGCTGCCTCCTGAGCCTCCTCCCTGGGCGCACGGGTTGGCAGAAGGTCTCCTGCAGAATTTCCCAGTCCCCAAGCGTCCCTGCTGCGACGCTGGATCAGTGTAGGTGAACAGCTTTCCCCCAGACAATTTTCGTTCCCGGGCGCAGGGGCGGACCCGAGGACGAGAGAAGCGGAAACCTTGAGCAGTAGCAGAAGCAGCAGCCGCGAGGTGCGGGCGAGACGCGCGCCCGCGGCCCGCATGGCTGGGCGAGGGCGCACCCGGCAACGGCGGCTCCTGCTTAGGACGGACACCTGCTGCTAAAGTTGCCGCTGAGAGTTAGACACATGTCACATACTAACCCCCGCCCCTGCAGCGGGGGACGGGAGATTAGGGGGAGGTTGGGGGATGGGTCTTGGGGTCACAGTCCTTCCCCTCTACAATCCTTCCTCGTTTGGTGTCCTGTGCATTTCTCAGCCAAGTCCAACCCGAGCGCTGCGTATCCCCAAGATTCAGAGAGGGAATCGCTGCTGCCGGTGGCTGACCTTGAAAACTTGCAACCAACGCCTGACTGTTGATTAATGTTGCGACTGGGAGAAGCCCAGACGAAGCCCCACGCTCCTCCCTGCCTTTGGGGTGGCTGCCTTCCTGGTAACAGTCGCTCTGCCTATTTACATGCTTTCGATATAGCTTTATCCAGCAGCAAGACGAGGTCGCTTCAAGGGAAAGGAAAGCAAGTTCCCCACCTTCAGATGACTAGTAGCCACACTCCCGCTCCCGCTTGCTGGAGACAGGCTGCCCACAGCCAGACGCCGCGCACATGCGCCGGGGTAACTCTCGCCCCACCTAACCCCAGCGACTCGCGAGGCTCCTGCAGACGAGGAGAAGCGGGATGCGAAGCCCGCGGCCGCGGCCAAAGTTGTCTCTCCTCTTGCTCAAAGTTGACCAGGGGGCGGCGCGGGCTGCTGGGCGGCGCGTCTCCGCGGAGAAGGGAATCGGTGGTGGGGAGGGCTAGCTCTGCTCCTCGGTGGACAGTGCCGGCGGCCGCAGGAGCTTGTGGCGGCGACAGCGGGCGCAGCCCCGGCGGAGAGAGTGGTGCCCGGAACCGCCGCGGGCGAGGCGGTGCATGGCCAGGAAGCCCCTCGCCGCCGCTCCAGCCGCAGCGCGCGCACGCGAAACCCAGCGCTCCGCTCCTTGCCTCCTCCCCCTGCTCAGCCTCCTGCGAGAGACGCGCTGGTTTGTGGGGAGACGGGATCCCCTGGCGGCTTACGAGGTCACTAAACCCACACACGTTTCATTCAAGCCCTTTGTAGCGGCTTCCACGCGTAGGAGCTGGAAGCGGCGAGAGAACGAGGGCGGAGGCGCGGAGCCTGCGCGGCTCGAGGCTAGGGATGGGCGGGACATGTTAATTCCCCAGATGTCTGAACCAGCCTGACGGGTCCCAGAGCCGGGTTGTGGGAAGAGGCGAGGGGCGGGGTGGCGGGGGTGGGGGAGATCCGTGCGTTCACTTCCAGACCTGGGTCCTCGAGGGAGTCGTAAATTGAGGCGCTCGCCTCCTTAGGTGTTTCCAAGAACTGAGGATGGGAAAGAAAGGAAGCTCAGAGGCTTCCATCGTAGAGAATGAGCAGTTCTGGGAGTGGGACGCAGAGTGGGGATGCGAAGGATACCCTTTCCCTTTAACAAGGGTTTAGGAGGCATCCTACCAGGGGTTACTTTAGAACCACTCAGACCACAATGAAAGTAGTTTTGTTTGATGAAGTAGAAGGAAATGATAGGTAGGGGGAAATTAACATGAACAGAACTTCCAGCCTGGCTGACCAGGCCTTTCCAGCCTTTTATACAGTAAAACCCCACACTCAGGCCACAGCTGTCAGGGTGTAGCTAATACGACAGACAAATACCAGACAAACTGATTAAGAGAGAGCAAGTGATAGAGGAAGAAATAAACACATTTTGAAAAAAGGGAACATGTAGAGAGACAGGAGAAAACACAATGAGAAATAATGCCTATTGTGGTAGGTAGAATAATGGCCTTCCAAAAGATGTCCACATCCTAATTCTTAATACCTGTGAAAATGTTACTTTACATGGCAAAAGGGACTTTGCAGATGTGATTTCTCAAGGGATTCTCATCCCCTTGAGGTGGGGAGAAGATCATGGATTATCCAAGTGGGTCCATTGAAATCACAAGGGTCCGTGCAAGAGGGAGGTAGGAGGGTCTGAGTGAAGTGAGACCCTGAGCTAAAATAATGCTGGAGATCTCTAGAAACTGGAAAAGGCAAGGAATAGGCCGTGCCTGATTGTTTTTAGAGTTCTGACCCCCAGAATGATAAGATAATGAATTTGTGTTTTTTAAGCCACTTTAAGCCACCTATCAATTACAATGGAGTTTCTGGGAAGGGTGCAAAAGCTATTTCCTTGTTGAATTTGAATTTCTCTCTGGGTAGAGGTGGAAATTAGCGACACATTAATGTGATCTAGAGTAAAAAAAAGGATCAAAATAATAGCTCACATGTATAACCGAGACTTAAAATAAATGAGATGGGGGGGAATATCTCTAGTTTTATGTTGACAACTTTTTTTTCTTGTTCACAACTAACCCAGGTTACCCCCTCCTGAATTTTTTTTTAAATAAAGTATTACAGTTAAAGTAGAAGATTTCTCTCACCTTATTCCCATCTCCCTATCACCTGAGGTGACTAATATTCTGAAGTTGATGTGTATTTTTTCATCCACATATTTTGTACTTTTATGCTAGATCATATACGAGTTATACTGTTCTGTGTGCTTGAGAGTTACACAAATGGTGGCATAGCATAGTGAAGACACTGAATTTTGCTCTTTTCCTTTTACACTTATAATTCTGAGATTCAGCCTAATTGATACATGTAAGTCTAGTTTGTCCTTTTTATGAATATGCTATAGTTAATTTTTACATTCCTACATTGGTTAACATTTGCGTTGTTTCCATTCTTTTTACTCTTAAAAGCAAGCATAGAAGTTTCCTTGTGCCCACATGCAAGAGCTCCTCTAGGGTTTATACTTACGCATGCTATTTCAGGTTCATAGGATATTAACACCATCAGCTTTTTAAGGTATTAACAAATTACTCTCTCAGAGAGCAGGATATGAGAGACCCCCTTTTCTTCCTATCCCCTCAAAGTTTTGTTTGGATATTATCATTGTCATTCATTTTTGCCAGTCTCGGTAAAATAGCATTTCATTGTTATTATAATTTGTAGTTCTATAATTATTAGTGAGGCTGAGCATCTTTCCACCTTTTATTGGTAAGTTGGGTTTCTTCTTTTGTGACATTCCTGATCCCATCCTAGATAGACACTGGATCTCACTACATCTGCACCACAGTCTGCTTCCAACTTGTGGCTTGATTTTTAATTTGTTGATGGTGTCCTTATTGGTTCAGAAATGTAAAACTTTTAGAAATACTTATCATTATTGTCCTTTATACTTTTGCTTCTTGAGTTTTGCTTATTAAATCTTCCCTACTCTGATGTCATAATGACATTTTCCTAAAAATTATTCTCAAAGTTTTAAATATTTAGTGTTCATATTGAGGTCTTTAATATGAAATATATTTTATATATAATATGAAGAAATAGATATAATTTTATTTTTACCTATATGGGTTGTCAGTTTTTTTTCATCACCACTTATTGACTAGCCCAACCATTCCTACCATTTGTAATGACAGTTCTCTTATTTTATTGAACTCCCACAGAAGTTTACGTGCGCGTTCCTGTTTTCTGTTCTATTCATTGGTTACACTGGTCTATTTGGCTATCCCTGTACCAACATCAGGCTATTCTTATTTCTGCAGTTATATAAGTCTTAATATCTGGTAAGGTACATATGGTAGCTCTCAAATTTGTTAATAACTTTAAATTTTATATGTAGACTTAACTAACCTACAAATAACGCCAAATTTATTTCTTTACAACAACCATTTGTTTTCCTTGTCTTACTTCATTGTTAAGTACTTCCAGTACAGTGCTGACTAAAAGAGGTGAGCCATGTCCTTAAATATCTCAATTTCATAAATTATTTAAGAAATGTTCTGAATGTTAAGCTAGCCTAGCATTCCTAGGGATAAGCCTTATTGTATGCTACAGTATTCTTTTAAAAACAGGTGGTGTTGAATTCAATTTGTCAGGATTTTCTTTGGGATTACTGGATATATGTTTGTAAGTACTCAAAAATCACCTTATTAGAAAGGCTTTCACCGACCATCCTTTTAAAAGGACAACCTTTCCCCATCCATTACTCTCTTCTCTTACTCTCTATTTCCTTACACATTTTGAAATGGGAAAAAAAAAAAAAGAATATCTAGAGAGACAGGAGAAAATACAATGAAAAATATGTAATTGGCTTGAGTTGGGCATCATTCTCCAAGTGGTAAGCTGAAGCACTGAGGTAGCCAGCTTGGAGAGAGGTTTAGGAAAATCCTGGTGGAGGGGCTGTCCGTGCCTGTCTGAAACAATACCTTCTTATTCGTAAGTAGCTCCCTCCTTAACCTGAACAATGATGCCTTCCAGCTTGGATGTGCCATGCTCTGGTTCCTTAAGACTTATTGTGACCATGAATAAAATTGCAGAGACCTCCAGCCACCCTGTTGGAGTCTGGGACAATGTCAATCATTTATCTTTTGGGAAACACAATTTTCTCATCTGTAAGACAAGGCTACCCATATCTCCTCTCAGCTCTGCCCACCCAAGTTGTTATGATGATTACACAGATATGAAAAGACTTTACAAATGTACAATATTTGTGTTGCTGTTTTTAGTAGTTCAACTATTTGTTGCTATTATCAACATTTAAATGCCATCAAGAACATGAAAGCCTTGAAGGAGATCATGCTTTATACATAAAAGTCTAAAGTGGGCTTATTATATAAGAAAAGTTAGAAAGCATTCACTGCAAAAGAAAAACAAGTCTTTCAAATGTTTTCTCAAAGCTTATCTCATATGTAACTATAATTTTAAAAATTGAAATAGTCACAATTTATCTATTTCTGTAGTTTCTGTTTTAGAAAAACAGATCAGAAAAGATGTTGGCTAATCACTGTCTAGTTTACATCAGAGGTCATTTATCTGTACAAGAACTGATTTGAACATGGATTTTTCTGTGTCAGCATCCCACAGGGTTTATAATATATAATATTGACTTTATATACAAAAGAGAACATGTAAATTGTTACCTGTCTTGGCATTTCTATACAGTCTATTACACTTCATTTAGTGTTTGGTGTGCTGAAATAAGGCGCATGACAAAATAAGAGAAATTACTATTTCAGGTTCTAAGATACATCACTGAACAAGGGAAGAAGTTTTACTCAGCACCCAATTCACTTCTCAAGTAATTTTTCTTTCCTTTTGTTTGGCTTCATAGAATTCAAAGGGACCACTTTCTAAAAGAAATTGTAACATGCAACCAACAGATTAGTATGTTCTGAGATTCAAAATACCTCATTTTACAAACAGTTTGTGGTTGCAAACTCTCTCTGTCCCTAAATTGCAAATTGTTAGTTTAGAAGCCTCTACTGACTACCTGCTTCATCCCCTCCCCATGCCACATATGAGAGCTCAACTAGAATTAATTAATGGGAAAAATGGTATTGTTTGGGATAAAACACCAACATGATCATGTCTATCTTAAAAATCAAATATCAGTGTTAAAGTATTTAAATTTTTTAATGAATCAACAATAATTAAAATAGTCCCTTAACTATGACAGAAGAAAATGTAGCTGTTGGGATACATAAAATGTTTAGAAAACTACACTATATTGCATAATCAAGTCTTTTTTTTTAATTGGAAAGAAATTTGAGGACTTCCCTGGTGGCGCAGTGGTTAAGAATCCTCCTGCCAATGAAGGGGACACGGGTTCGATCCCTGGTCTGGGAAGATCCCACATGCCGCGGAGCAACTAAGCTCGTGCACCACAAATACTGAGCCCACGCACTGCAACTACTGAGCCCGCATGCTGCAGCTACTGAAGCCTGCGCACCTAGAGCCCGTGCTCCGCAGCAAGAGAAGCCACCGCAATAAGAAGCCCGTGCACCGCAATGAAGAGTAGCCCCCGCTCGCCGCAACTAGAGAAAGCCCACGCGCAGCAACAAAGACCCAACGCAGCCATAAATAAATAAAATTAAAAAAAAAAAAAGAAAATTGAATGTAACAAAGGGTAAAATTGAAGATTCACTGACATATACATAAACATTCTAACCTTTCTCAGCTCTTTAGAGGTAAATTCTCTGTGAAATGCAGCCCCACCTTTTGATGAAAATGCATTGAGAAGCAAAGGTACTTGGTTGGCACTGAGTCAATATGATATAGCAGGAGACCAGACCACCTCGGGCTTTTGTCCCTCATAACTTCTCAAATAATACATTTTCCCTAGTGGTTACATCACATTAGTTTCTTTTGTTTTTTTTTGTTTTTTTGTTTTTGCAGTACGCGGGCCTCTCACTGTTGTGGCCTCTCCCGTTGCGGAGCACAGGCTCCAGACGCGCAGGCCCAGTGGCCATGGCTCACAGGCCCAGCCACTCCGCGGCATGTGGGATCCTCCCGGACTGGGGCACGAACCCGTGTCCTCTTCATCAGCAGGCGGACTCTCAACCACTGCACCACCAGGGAAGCCCCATATTGGTTTTAAATCCTGTAAATAACCACAGTAGGCAGAACTTTTCAAGTTACCCAAAGAAAATGTGGTATTATAAAGGTACTTATTTTACTTCCTTCTTCCATTATTTGGATCCAAGCTGTATTTTGTATCAATGAGACTCCTTCTAAGACTCTCCTAAACAAATCATCCTATTCTACTTTTGCTCCATCTCTTACCAAGCAATATTCTGTGTAATGTTGATACTGAATGATATTCGAGTATAAAAGCCAGTCAAGCTAAACCACAGAAGCATGGTCTTTCTTTAAAATACTAGTAAATTTGAATTTTTAGCAAATTCACTAGAATGTAATTTTTCTGTACAAAGCCAGTGAGGAAGAGCATGCATTTCTATATGAAAAGTGAAACACTGAGATAGAATTATTTTTAAAGAGAATGCATCATTGATTGGCTCTCTTGGCAAGCTATTAAATTTTAGCTTCAGCAAAGAAATCGATCCAATGGACTCATCTAAGCCTTGAATCTTGGCACTTTTAGCCATTATTTTCCTGATTAGTATTTGAAATATACATGGTGCCGAAACAATGTTTACTTTGTGAGAGTCATAAAACTCTACCGCAAAGATTGGTCAACGAAGTGGAAACCATGGTCTTTTCCAGTATAAACTTTCTGATTTGTGTTCACTTGTTTTAGAAGGAGATCTGCTTTATATTTATTTTTAACCTAGTGTATGGAGAGGGTGGGACTGGGTATTATTACTACAACAAATTGGTCTGATGACAGAAATTTTGAATGGTCAAGTTAACAAAATGTTAAAATGTGGCTCAAGGTAATCAAATTTGGATACTTGAGGCTACTGGTTCTTTAGTGTTTGCATTTTCTGGTTCCCATGCACAGCTACTTCCAGGGCCCCAGCTGGTCCACAGAGTGCTTTTTCAGGACTGGCTTCATGTTCACCCCTTTATGAACTCAATCTCCTTCCCTGAGCATCGCTTTTAGGAGAAGGGAAGGCTTTCATTTCTACTTGCAGATAAGAAAGAAGCTGATTATCTCCTCTTGCATCAGAGAGAGGACGTTTAAGTGATAATATGACCAAGGCCCCTTGCAGTGGTCTACCTTCTGAGAGAGGCACCCTCTGGTGATCACAAGGGTGGCCTCTTTTAGGCAATGTAGGCTGGGGTAGTTCCCATGATTCCAAGATGATTCTTAGCTCACTGGAGAGAAGATACATTCACTCTCTGACAAGACTTCCATTAATGGATAGATTGGACTTCATAAAGGAATTTCATGTATAAACTAAGAGAATTTGGCTGCTAAAAAAGAAATTAAAGATGATTAATCAAGTTCAACCCCTTCATTTTAGAAATAAGGAAACAGGCCGAAGTGTGTGAGTTACTTGCCCTATGTCATGTAGTGCGGTAGAAATCGAATTTGAACTAAAAACCAAGTTCTTTGAGAGTGAAGAGGAAGTTCCACCAGTCAGTGGTTCGGAGAGGCTTCCTGAAGGAGATGGAAGGTAATTGGGCAGGAGGGTGGGTGTTAGTTACTGAAGTGTAGGAGGAAGAAACCATGTTGTAAGCAGAGGGACTGACTCCAGCCAAGATGGGGAGAAGAGAAAAAGAAGGAAGTGTATAGAACAAGTGTTTCAGTGTTGCTAGGAATAGTGTATGAGAATTTTAGTTCTTAAAAAAGAGCTTAAGGGCTTCCCTGGTGGTGCAGTGGTTGAGAGTCCGCCTGCTGATGCAGGGGACGCGGGTTCGTGCCCCAGTCTGGGAAGATCCCACATGCCGCGGAGCGGCTGGGCCCATGAGCCATGGCTGCTGAGCCTGCGCGTCCGGAGCCTGTGCTCCGCAACAGGAGAGGCCACAACAGTGAGAGGCCCACGTACCGCAAAAAAAAAAAAAAAAAGAGCTTAACACCAATTTTAGTTTTTAAAGAGTGCTCAATCACAATACTTAGGAATATTTGACTTAGAGATCTCCTTACTCTGTGATATTAAAATATATATTAATCTTTTATTTATTCAAAGATACTTTTTGCTTACCTGCTCTGTGCCGGGAACAGTGCTATGTGTGCTAGATGTATAGCGGTGAGAAAAAAAAACCAGTTATGATCTGTACCTTCGAGGAGCTCACACTGTAACAGAGAATCCAGTCAAGTACGTTAGCATTTAATTAGAGTATACGATGACAAAGTTAGCTCTAAAACAGGCAAAGTGAGGGCTGCTTAGGAAAACATAAAAAGGTGTTTTACTCTGACTGGAGGAGGGGTCAAAGTTGATGCCCTTGAAGAAGAAAGTTGTAAACCTGCAGATGAATGTTGGGGAGGTAGGGAAGGCAGGGGAGAAGGGGAGGGTTGGACATCCAGGGAAAACTAGGGCAGAACTAAAACTCAACGTGATAGACTTAAAATACTGTCAGTAGTACAGTGTGGCTGGGAATTGAGTTGAAGGTAGAAATGGGGAGAGACAATAAAGGGAGGTATTATGAATGGACTTGAGAACCAGACATTTTCAAAGGGCACATCCCTGCAAGGAGGCCTTACAGAATTCCCTGAGGATGGGATGGGAGTGAATGGAGGCACAGGGAACTAATCTGAACCTTGATCCATCCTTTGTCTCTGCTTCTTTCTGCCGGTTGCCATTTTTTCTTTCTTCCAGCATTCCAGCTCTTTTGTCACCTCAAACATACGATAAAATACACCTGCCAACACCTTACACATTTACACATTAAAGAGTTCAATCATTAGAGGGAGAAAGATATTAACTTCCTTTTTCTAGTTCCAATATCTGAGGAAAGGACCCAACATGGTTGGATAATCATACCTGGATCTCTCAGATGTGGTCAGAGAGCATGCACAAAACTGAAATGAACAGCTTCCACAGACAGCTGCAAGTTATGTTAGGCAGAGAAGGGAGTTCACAGAAGAATTATGGGGGCATTTCCCGATATGAGAAGGGGTTCTGACCAGGAAAAGTCAGGGGTGATCACTTCGTTGACTTGCAAGGTTGCTGTAATGATTGAAAAGGGAATGTATGTAAATTCAAAGCACACCTTGACCTGCAGCAGGTCCTCGGTAACTGTTGGACTGAGTTGTTTTAGTTGCTTGAATATCAATGAAGAGACTGAAGTTCTTACAAGGGCCACTTGTTTGTCTCACCACCAGTTACACACACTTTTGCAGGAAATACAACCACACGATTTAATTGTCCCAGGTCCTTAGCTCAGGACAACAGTTCCACCTGACTCTGGCACCGAATACGGGAGGTGTGTGGAGAAAGCATTTCTTCTTTCCAGGCTCAAGATGAAGAGAAATAAAATACATACAACATTTTAAAAAGATTTGGAGATTCTATTAAAGAAAAAAAATGACTGGAGGCAGTCAGTCAACCAACAAGTATGCACCATTTTATGTGGCGCTGTGCTAGGTGCGTGATGAAGTGAGCTGAGCCAAGGTAGTTCTTAATTTGGAGTTGTCTGCAGTCTAAAACTGGGCTTCAGAATTATGTACCAGGCTTTGGAGCCAATAACACAGGGTGCTTTTACTTCTAACAAGTTTGAAATTCTTTTAATCTCAGGTACCATTTTGAAAAAGCAGTTCAGAGTTTTGTTTTTTGAAGATATTTTATTGCTGTTCTGTAACTGCTTATAAAATTGCTATAATTTTTAATTATTAATGGGAAATATAGTTAAAGGTATTAGAAATCTGCCATTTTATTGGAGGAAAGTACATTTAGGAAAATACATACCCTCAGACCATTACAGCATACTGTTCACCTAGATCATGAAGACTAGACTTTTCACAGGTACCAATAGATATTACAATAGGGAGAAGAGATCTGGGTTTTAATTCTGACTCTACCATTAATTACCTAGCAGGGTAATCTTGGGAGTGTCTCTAATGTTACCCATGTATCTTCATTTGTAAATGGTTAAGGCACTGTTTAAAGAATATAATATTCAAAAATGTAATAAGTGTTTTAAATGTTTATATAATTTTCATATTAGTGATTCACATCCTTTATATTGTTTATGAAAAATCTTTCTTTTGTATAGGGTGTTTATGGAAGAGAAGGAAATCTAGAAACTCTGATTTTAGGTCCAACATCACTACTAATATTTATGAGTTATGACAGGCTCATTATAAATACATATTGTTATATCTTAGGGTATATTCATACATGCACTATTAGCTAAAAACATGGACTATTTTTAAAAACTAATGTATTGTATGTGATCCATGCATAAAAGAACTTTATGGATTTAGAATGACTGAAGAGGGCTTCCCTGGTGGTGCAGTGGTTGAGAGTCCGCCTGCCGATGCAGGGGACACAGGTTCGTGCCCCGGTCCGGGAAGATCCCACATGCCGTGGAGCGGCTGGGCCCGTGAGCCATGGCCGCTGAGCCTGCACGTCCGGAGCCTGTGCTCCGCGACGGGAGAGGCCACAGCGATGAGAGGCCTGCGTACCGCAAAAAAAAAAAAATAAATAGAATGACTGAAGAAATGATGGAAAATATTTATAGTGATTTTCCAAGTGGTGCATTGTGTTTGTGTGGGTTTTATTTTCATATTTTTTAAAACTTCTATAATTAATGTTATCTTTAAAGTAAGGAAAAGTAATTTTTTAAAAGAAAATTGTTTGATTAGAATTAACCAAAGTTGGATTCACTAATGCTCTTCATTCCACCTGTAAAACACAGGCTGCAGATGACCTGTCCAATCGCTGATAGACTATCCTCTAGGTAACCTGGGCTCTTCTGCTCTCTTCTTTTTTTTTTTGGTACGCGGGCCCCTCACTGTTGTGGTTTCTCCCCATTGTGGAGCACAGGCTCCTGGACGCGCAGGCTCAGCGGCCATGGCTCACGGGCCTAGCTGCTCCACGGCATGTGGGATCTTCCCAGACCAGGGTACGAACCCGTGTCCCCTGCATCGGCAAGCGGACTCTCAACCACTGCGCCACCAGGGAAGCCTTGCTCTCTTCTTGCTCCTTGACCTATGTTACTTACCAAAGTCAAAATCAGTTGTGCTTGTTTCTTTCCCTGTGAAAGCCAGTTGTTCTTGTCACTGTAATTACATAAATTAACATTATATAAAAATTGATGAGACAACTGTAAAATGTTATGATAAAAACTTAAAATGCTTACACTTTTAGATTGCTTTACAAGTGTTAACTTCTTTTTCTACTATGATGAAACTCAAACTGGAAATGTGAATGATGCATTATGGGTGTGGTTTGTGTAAAAAAGAAGATGAGGACCTTCAATCAGAAGACACCACTCAAATTCTTGGCCTCATCTCAAAAGATTGGTGACTAAACAATAAATTTGTATGTTTTAGATTAAAATACAATATTTAAGGTAAGTATTAATCACTTTTTAATGCTTCTTCACATTCACTGCTTTTCAGTGATGTAACCAACAACAGGTTCTACTCATCAGATAAGAGAATTTCTATTATAACTATTTATTTAGATGCCAGTGTATTCAGTAATCATTCTGTGGCTCCTTTCTTACTATGTCTTACACTTGAACCTCTAATGTTTTAATTCCTTTCAAGTCCTTCTTTAATTATCAACGAAGCATAGATATACCCTGAAAGAAAAGATCTTGAAGACAATTATCTCAGAAGTACCCCATCAACAATCTGCTTTTAATCTTGACTATTATTCTCATTACTGTTATTTTCAACGGAATTCATTCTTGGTCAAATCAGTCCATTCACCCAACTTTGTTGCCCCATACAGAGCAAAGGATTATTACTCTAGTTGATAGTTTTGAATAGTAAAAGACATTTTTGTCTTGACCAAATTAAATGAAATGTTACTGTTTCTCAGAATGATTTATTAGAGAAGTGTACAGATTATGTCACTATTTTAAGTGCTTACTAATTCAACAAATATTCACTGACGGTTATGCACAAAACAGTGCAGTGTGCTTACACGTACATTTAAAAAAAAAAAGAAAAAAGAGATCTTATCTCAGGAAGCTCTATATGCCTATTGTCCTAGCTTTAAGGAAGGTTTCTTTTGATGATTTTAAAAGAAGAAATATGAAATAGACTATGTAAAAAGTGAAGTGAAATAGTAGAGCTAAAATATTCTCTGATGAAAGCATCTTTCCCTAAAAAATATGGGGGCATATGCATGAATTTTTTTTAATTGACAAGAAAAATAAGAAAATAAAAATGACAAGAGGAACTCTCAGGATTTAAGTTAAAGGTTATTGTTGTTTTAATCTGTAATCAATATCCTGAAAATTCTTCATGGTTTTCTGCTAAAACCTGTACGTTGAAACAATGCCTGACATATTTTCTCACTGCATGTCTTCAGCACTGCATGGCTGCTAATGACAGCATTTGCTCAGTCTTCCCTGCAGGAGATCTACAGCCTTTGGGGTGGAGAATTTTCTATAACAGCAGACCTGCCATAGCTGATCTGTCAGGGGGAGTCAGACAGGCATTCCGCTCCCCGAGGACAACAAGAAAACAAACAAAAATTAAGCAAAATGCAAATATTTTCATCAAAGGCACTCGGCAAATGATTCCCTAAGGAATCAAAAGCAGGGGCAGGAACGAATCACACTTCATTCACCGAAATCGTTACATTTCAGTACTCCAAACAGATAAATTAAACCATCTATTATGTCTTCTGATGTTCAGTTGCACTAACATATGAGCTGGAAATTTGGCCAACATTACATGCTTTCACACACGGCTCATATTCACCTTTCACCCTTTCTACAAATATTTATCAAGCTTCTCCAAAGCACAGTGCTGGGCTCTGGGGGAATGTAATGGTGAGCAGAAACTGACAAGGACTCTCCCCTACAAACCCCAGGGTCTAATGGGGATGGGGAAGCTGGCACAGAAAGTGCTTGCACAAGCAAATGTGAAATTGCAGTGGAGACAAATTTGATGGTGAGCTATGTGATGCTTAGACTCTATGAAAGCCTGAAGGTCAAAGAGAACTTCTATAAAGAGGTTCTGAAGAATTCTTAGAAGTTAACTACTCAACAGGGGAAGGGAGGATGCACCAGGTAGAAGAACATCCATGTCTTAAAGGTATGGTGGCAGGAGAGGGTATGATCAGTTGAGAGACTGAAAGGAGGTCACTGTGGCTAAAGCAGAGAGTGCCAAGGAATTGCAGAACGCAGTGGGGCTAAAGAGCAGTGATGGAGCCAGATCATGAAAGACCTCATAGGCATGGTAAAGGGTTTTGACTCTATCCCGACACATATATAAAGTCAACGGAGTATTTCAGGTGTGTGTGTGTGTACATGATGGTATGTGTTTGCGTGAGGTGTCATGCTATTTGAGTGGTGTGGCATGATGAAGTTTGCATTCATACTCTATACTTTAATCATTTCTTAATTTTACTGACAGACGGCAGTCCCTATTAACAGTTTCTTCATGTTGTAAGAATAATTGGAGTTGAATATAAAGTGGTTTTATATCTAGATTGTGGAAAACATAAATATGGCATCCTATATAAAGAAAGTATTGGGCTTCCCTGGTGGCACAGAGGTTGGGAGTCCACCTGCCAATGCAGAGGACACGGGTTCTGAGCCCTGGTCTGGGAGGATCCCACATGCCACGGAGCCGCTGGGCCCATGTGCCACAACTACTGGGACTGCGCTCTGGAACCTGCAAGCCACAACTACTGAAGCCTGTGCACCTGGAGCCTGTGCTCTGCAACAAGAGAAGCCACCGCAATGAGAAGCCCGTGCACTGCAAAGAAGAGTGGCCCCTGCTCACCACAACTAGAGAGAGCCCGCGCACAGTAACGAAGACCCCATGCAGCCAAAAAATAAAATAAATAAAATAAATTTATTTTTAAAAAAGTATTAAAACCGTATATATAAAAACACAATCACAAGTTTTGCATGTTTTCATTTGTAATGTAAGGCAACTGAATGGCATTGTAAAACATATGATTTGCATTCAAAAATAGGATAGTTTGCTATTCTTAACATGAAGAAAATCAAGAGAAAGCTCATTCTGACTAAAACCAATTAAATATTTGAATAATCATCTTTAAGCATACACACTGTTGTTCCTGAGAAAAATAAAGAATAAAATATTATGTAACCACCAGTATTAGTTACATTCAAAGATGAAGTATTGCTTTTTTAGGAAACTTGGGATATAGTAAAATGTATGAGGTTGGGAATATGAAAAATCCGAATATACTCTAAGTATAGTATATTAAATAATAATATACCGAATAACAAATAACGATAACAATAACAACAATAACTTGCTGTTAGGAGTGACTTTAGCAATAAAGAGAACCCAGCTCATAGAATATTATCTTTTCTTGTCATTTTAGTAATATAGTAACATGACCAATATTATTCATGTCACGGAATTCTAGTTTTTAATTGATTGGGTGCCCATGATGGGCCGGGTGCTTTAAACGTTTCCACATCGAATCTTTGTGAGCTAGTTGTTTGCAGTAGGGACCCTCCTAGAGCTTGAAGCCCAGGCCTGCTGAAGCCTGATCATGGGTAATAGAACCTCGCTTCATCCCACCTCCATGTAAACACTCAGGAAGGTGCTAATTTTGTTTTGTGCTAGTTATTTGCACCTAGTCAGGAGGCAGGCATATAGCCAGAGTCCCCAGGACAGCCTGACTGATACCAGTAATAGGGTATTAAAACACTCTTGAAAATGGCAAAGCAAGTTTCTCCCAGCTAGCAGGATCCTCACTCCACCCAGGCAGCACATCCGAAGCTGCATAATCTGTTTGGAATGTGGGGCAATACGAGAAGCCATCCTGGTCTCTGAAACCTCACTGTGTAAACCCTTGCTTTCCGTAACTATTCTCTGTTTTTCCCGTTGCTGTAAATTTCCTTTCCATTTGCCACTAAAACCTTGTGTCTCTCTGTCAATCACATTACCATTCCATTGTGACAACACAGAAATTTTCATACTCACTTTAGAAATGAAGACACAGAGGCTCTGAGCATTACAGTAACTCATCCAAATTAACAAGCGACAGTGTTGAGGTCCTGATAACACAGCTGTGGTCTTTGCAGATATATCTGTTAAAAAAGGTCAGGGAAGCTGATGGAACAGTTATAGGATAAGTATTGTGAATAAAAGAAGAAATCAGTTTCATAAATGTGTACCTGTGACACTGAGTGGAGAAAATTTCAATTGTTTCTTTTCATGTTGCATATAAAAACCATATGATCTCATGAATATGTTTATTTTACCATCAAACTAAGTTCTATGAATATGGGAAATATGTCTATGTCATTCATCTGTGTAAGGCCAGTATCAAGCAAAGAGCCATGCACGTCATAGTCATGTAATATGTACTTAAATTCTTAAATTTTCAAAATGTATTTGACCTGAAATATTTCATTATTTAATTCAGGTGTAAAGATGTAGTTTGTCATTTGGAGGATATATTAAATGTGATGTTTCTGTGAGGGTGATTTTGGACGAGATTTCCATGTAAATTGGTGAACTTTGAGTAAAGCAGACTGTCCTCCATACACTGGGTGGGCCTCATCCAATCAGTTGAAGGTCTGAATAGAACCAAAGACTGACCTCCCCCAAGCAAGAGGGAATTTTGCTGCAGACTTCAACTCCAACTGGTGGACCATGCTGGTAGCTAATTAGTGTGCTTGTGTCTGCTCCCTCATGTACTCCAGCAGAACATCTATTAGGAAGTATTCTAAGGAGATAAAGCAACTGCTTACAATGCTTGGAGTGTGACATTTACATTGAGTTTGAGCTAGATTTTATCGAGTATCGAATGAAAAAAAGGTAAGTTCAATCAATGTCGTCCACCCACAGTGGTGGAAAAACCTGTCCAAACTAAATTTTCATCTCCATGAGGTCAGAGGCTGTGACTGTTTTTTGCCAACTACTTATATCCCTGAAGCTCAGTGCCAAGCCTGACACTTAGTGGGCACTGAAAAAATATTTACTAAGTGAATGAATACATGAGTGAAGGTTGCTGTGTCCACCAGGTTTCCAACAGGCTACCTATGACACAGTTGAACTAGGATAATTTGAGGAGGGTTTATTTATCAAAAATCTAATTAAAAGGGGAAGTGAAAGGACAGGACCCAAGCTAAAGAGATGGTGGGAAGTAAAATTACCAAAACTCAGAAAGAAAGAGTGGGTCAGCCGGCACAGAGCAGTGACCTTCTTCCTGCATCCTCCCAGAATTCCCATTTGCTAAACCTGACTTGAGGGACCAGGATCTCTGTTGACTTCGTTCAGGCAGGTTAGCCTCAAGGGGGTGTGACCAGCGGAGAGGAGGGTGGAGTGTGGGTCCTGAAGAGCAAACAGAGACACTGCATTGTTGTCTTAACGGAAGGACTGCACTGCCCTCCTGAACAGATATCCGATTAACAACACAACTGCAGTGTGCACGCTCACACACTCACGTGCGTGTGCACACCCACACATTGCACAGAGCCTTCTTTTAATTACTGTGGTTTGATTGCTGTTTTAAAAGAAACATGGAGGGCTTCCCTGGTGGCCCAGTGGTTGAGAGTTCGCCTGCCGATGCAGGGGACACGGATTCGTGCCCTGGTCCGGGAAGATCCCACATGCCGCGGAGCGGCTGGGCCCGTGAGCCATGGCCGCTGAGCCTGCACGTCCGGAGCCTGTGCTCCGCAACGGGAGAGGCCACAACAGTGAGAGGCCCGCGTACAGCAAAGAAATAAAAAACGAAAGAAACGTGGAAACAATTTACCTTATTTTGAAATTAGAACAGGAAACACAATCTTATTCATTTATTTTTAAACTATAGGTCCATTTTACATTGTCCTCAGTGAAGAAACAAGAAAGGAGATAGACAAAGGGAACGGGAGAGAAAAAAATAGAAAAGGCAGAGAGACAAACTAAGAAACAGATCAAGAAAGATGGTAAAGGAGACTCATGGATCAGGGGACCTCGAGCAAAGAACAGTGTGGGCCTAAGGAGAGATGGTCAGGGCGGGGGAGTGAGCCAGGGAAAGAGGTGGGGGCGGGGGAGAAGGGGAGGGGCCATAAGACATAGCCTTGGACCCAGGAAATAAATGGGTCAGTTGTTAGGAGATGTGCACAAGTGTAGGACTGCAGGCAAAGCTGTAGCCTTTTTTGTTTTTGCGGTACACGGGCCCTCTCACTATTGTGGCCTCAGCCGCTCCACGGCATGTGGGATCTTCCCGGACCGGGGCACGAACCCGCGTTCCCTGCGTCGGCAGGTGGACTCTCAACCACTGAGCCACCAGGGAAGCCCAAAGCTGTGGCCTTTTAAACTTGAAAAGATGTTGGGGAAAAGTACAGTGTAAAATTTATGTATTAGTTTCTGGAAAAAAAATATCCTTGAGATTTTGACTTAAGTAGTTAAGTCGAAGTAATTCATTCAATTTGGAAGTGAAACAAATCGTACTTCCATGGGACGAAAATAATTCTTACATAATTTTTTTTCCTTTTAACTCAAGTAACTTGGAAGTAACTTTGCCAGGAAAAAATAGAAGAGCAATATTACCCACAAATTGTTTTTCTCCTTCCTTTCTTACCCGTTACTTCCTGTTTCACCATATTGCCTTACTGGCCACGTGTGTGTATCTATATCTATCTAAATCTCTCATGTAGGCATTAGTTTCTTTATACCTATATAAATATAGATACATATATATACGTTTTTATTTGTTCTAATAAATACCATATAAGTGTGAATAATTTTAACTCCTCAGATGACTTTTCCACCTGCAATGCCCCATCCTGCACATTTGACAACTCTGTAGCCTGAGACTCAGAACTGGAAATAAACATCACAGTGATACAGCTAATTAATGGTAAACCCAGGACCCAGGGCTCCTCACTTTCCTGCTTTTTCCTCTAGGGCGCAAACTGCCTCCCTAGCTAAAGATTTTAGCTGGAGGTCAATTTGCCAATAAATGCCTTTTCATTCCATTTTACTTACTTTTCTTTGAAAACATACATAACCCTTCAATTATTTTCTGAATGTTAGAAACCTATTGAAAGATGTATCATTTCAACATGATAACCTATGTTTATAGATGTTTTTTTTCATTTATTTCTGAGAACAAATTTAATGTGAACTATTTAACTCATCCTGTCACAATTAAGTGTCAACCCTGTTTTTACTTTCAGCCTATTGCTGAAACTAAGAAATGCCCACTGATTTGCTAAAATCAAGAACATAGTGTTCTTTGGGCATTAATAACAGTGACTGGGATAAAAGGATGAGCATCTCAAAGCCCCTATAATGTAGAGTTACATAAAACTAACTCAGAGGACAGGATTAAAGGTAACAGTTCAGTTAAAAATAGACCTAAAAGTTATTGGTATAGTCACTCACTCTTATATGCGAATCTCCCTCTCATTGTTAACTAAAATAAATAAATGTTTCCATGCTATCAATACTACTTTAAGAAATGAGGCTCATGACAATCATAGTGCAATTTAAAGGAGGATTAAAATAATGGGGGAGAATTCTAACTGTTGAGTTCCCAAAACATAGAGCCAGAACCATTCTTTAAAGGGCAAAGATAGTTCAAAGCTTCAACCCTCCAGACATCATGTACTTTAATGTTGTATTTCAAACTGTTAAAGGACATGTGAAGGAAGGGATCCAAAATTCAATGTCTACTGCATTTTCAGAGTTGTGAATTCCTCCACCTTCTAGAACCCTACTCAGGAGTAAATGCTGCCCTAATTACCTAGGGAAATCTAGTCAGAAAGCATTCATCAAGTTAGTATAGGTTGCCTCCAGAACACTTAAGATTGCTGGCTGGGAATGCACTTGGATGCACTTACTGGGTTGAAACCCTCCTTTTTTTAGTTCTGAGTGGACACTGTAACTTCAGTATTCCTCCAAAGCCATTTGGAATCTCTGAGAACCTCAACAGAACTGAGAAAGGTCCTCTCGCCCGGAGCTGTGATAGGTCTAATTTAGTTTCTCAAGGTCTCCAGTAGGACTCCGCCAAGATGCTGCTTGAACTTGTGTGGTGTTTCCTCTGACTGGGCTGGCTTCTCACAGCTGATTTGCTCCTGGAGGATTAAACCAAAATACTGTGGGGAAGAGCGCCCTCTCCTGCCTTACAGTAGGAAATGCACTGCGTCGGATTGCCAGGGTGGATCCATTTACGGCGTCCCACTGCCAAACTGTTGAATTTGATCGCATGAGGTTTGCGTCTTAGTTTGGCTAGATCTTTTTTATATTTATAGTCCTTGATTTGGAAATCCAAGTTTTATGTATAAACAAATGCATAATTAAAACATCCACTATATAAACAAAATGTATAATTTGCACACTGGCTACAGATTTTCTTCAGAAAAACAACAATTATTTCATATGAGGTTTTGGAATTAATAGAAATCTGTTCAGTTGTGACTTATGTGCAGTTCCAATCTGAGATTGTTACAGAGGAGATTGTGACAGTTAATCAACATGCAAATGACATGTTTATGGATGAGTTAAAATGAATTCTGACAGATGTACTAGTGCCAAATATTAAAATTTAAAGCCTTAATCTTGTAGTGAAAATGACACAAACCACAGAAAGATCTGCTTACCTGTAGACATACTGAAGACGAGGAGAGTTTAATTAATACGTGTCAGATAATTTTTCATTTATTGATAATAGGTGAAATATACGGTATAAATACTCAAAATGCTGGAAGTAAGAAAACACTCTAGTATTCAAAAACCTCACTTGCCACTTCCGTCACAATTCATTGTTATAAGATTCACTCCAGTAAATAGAGGTTTTGGGCTTGTCTGCAGAATTAAAGTGACTATATTTAAGTGACCACTCTGTGACAGAATTATTTTTTTCATTTCATAAATATTTGAAAATGTACTACTGTTTCCGAATCTTAATCACGAAAGTTCAACTTTCATTAGGAACATTACAAGATTCTGAATAAAAGAAAGGAATTGTTCTGGGAAAGTATGAGATTAAAAGAGAAACACAAAAGTAATTAATGTTCACTAGTGTCACTCATCTGTTCTTTATTTAATTCTCATCACTTGTGGAAGATCCTCAAATTAATATGAATTAACTCTG